TGATATCTATTATCCTGTAATAAAGTTTTATATTGATTTCCACCTTTAATTAACACATGGTTCATGCTCAGATGATCAAAGGATTTTGCAGGAATAGATCATCCTCATTACTGAACAAAGCAAACCTCTTCTTGCCTTGAACAAGAACAAATATTTTATAGGCCAAAGTATAATTTCATAGATTTTTGTGATGGAAATTCACTCCCCAGAAACTTTTAGAATGCCTGGGGCATTTGCATTCACTAATTAGATGAACTTCGTTTCCTTTTATTCAATGTTTGTTTACTTGTGCAGTGCTAGAGGAAAGCTGCACTGTGCTGCAGGTCACGCTGGCTCTGTTTACAAGTAGTCTCAGGAATGTGAATATTGAAGCACTGGCTCCCCCAAGTGGAATGAACAACAGAAACTCTAGCAAGGAACTTTAAAGAACTTCTAAAGATCATCAGTAATGAAATGTGTTCTACTTTGAGAAAATATCACAGTATGTTACCATTTCTATAGGTTGTTAATGTTATAATAGTATTGGGAGAGCTGCACTCCAAAAGAACAAGCTGTGGGAGGCTGGAAGTGTATTACAAATTGAACATCGCATTTTTGTTAAAAGACATTTCTCCTACTATACGCATGTGAAGTTACAGGAAATAACGAAATGAAAATATTCATTTATTTCATTTCCATACTACAATCCCAAGGCCTCAGATATTTCCTCTCAATGTGCTAAATTTAGTTATCCCATTAGTAATAAGAAGCATTGCGGTGTATTTGTGAGTTAGCCATTCCTTTTGTGGTCACTCTTTTGAAAGAATGATGGGATGTGCTCTGAAGTGGTGTAGGGTTGGCAACACAGAGAAAACCTGCCCGTTTTGCTTGTTCGGGCTCACAGTGGCTCTGGATGGAAAGCAAAACAGTGTTTTCCCTGGGAGCAAGGGAATCTGCAGCGAGGAGCAGCTTGGGGGGCTGCTGGGCGGCCTAGCTGGGCACCCACGGTGAACAAGGAACCGGCAGAGCCAGCTCAGCCCTCAGTGGGACAGTGAGCAGAGGCACAGCCAGGCCCCCAGGGGGACTTGTGCTGGTCACCTACTACACTGCACTTGATTCATTTTACCAGTGTCCTCACCCCCTTAGAAGCCTCAGACCGGACTCGGTGCTTAAGATTCAGCCTCACCAAGTGCTGCTACCCTCAACCTGCCGGTTACGCTGGTACTGCTGCAGCCTGTTCAGTGTGGCCTTCATCACAGCAAGGGCACCCCGGGACTCCCGTTCAATCTGTTCACCAGGACATCCGTGTCCTTTTCTGTACCACTGCATGGGTTGTTCCCCCTCAGGTGCAGGACTTTGCATTTGCTCTTGCTGAGCTTCATGAGGTCAGCCCATCTCTCCAGCCTTTCTGGATCGCTCTGAACAGCAGCCCTACTCTCCAGAAAATCAGCTTCAACTCCCAATCCAGGACCCTCCACCAAGTTCCTGAGAGTGCACTACCTCTSCTCATCTGGGATGTCAATAGAGGCATTAAATAGTACACAAAGAAATGGAAACAAATAATAAAAAAAGGGACTTTAAGTAAAGAAAGCATGTTTTAGAAGTCAAGGACAAGTATAAAGTGGGAACTACCAGAAAGTCAGACTAGACTTGATCAGATAAATTAAAATAAGCAGCTAATCCCTCTTAAATTATCTATCTAGAAAGAGAATGATGAAGGAACTGTAAACCAGAGAGAATGGAATTAGTCTTTAAATGAAAACTTTCACTTCATCTTTCAGTAAGGATATTTATATTGGATAAAGCAGGATGAATAGAGGGAATGCCAATGGAAAAAAAATAGAAAAAGAAAAAAAGAATATTCAAAGGGATTGGAAGAAATTGAAAACATAATCTAGAAAAGCTACATTATATCCACTATACATTTCCAAAAGAAGTGRCACACAACTCATTGCTCCAGTCAAAGAGACTGGAGAGAAGAGTTCCTTAAAGAAGAGTTTTCAGACAGATTTTCTGTAGTGTGTTATTAATTGTGAAACAATGTGTGCTGTAATTCACTGAATTTACACAATTCACTGAAATCAAAATAGCAACTGTGTAACACAGCATTGCCTGTTGGATCCATGTAGATGCAGGAGCAACAGTTCCTATGTTTGTCAAAACCTAATAGCTGGGAATTAATTGGAATCATTTGCTGTCCTGCTGAAAATCAATAGGTGCTTTATATGCATTAAAATAGTCAAACATTTAGTGTACCACACTGTCCAAATTATTAGGATGGTTTTTAGAGCCTTGTTTTAACTGACTCAGAAGCTTTTCTACTCTATAAATCATAGGCAAGGGGCAGGATTAGATTCCACCTAACATTCTTCCTTGATTACCAAGATCATCAGTGCTAAACTACATCGTAGTTCAGTAAATGTAATATCATTATAGATCTTAATTGAAGTAAAAGGGAATGGGGCAAAACTGTCAGCTTTGTACTACAACAGAAAAATAAAAATCTAAAACACATTAACAATGAAATGAATACTTGTGAGCAGTAATAGTAAATGCAGAGACAGAATGGAATTAGAGCAAATGTATAGGGGAATATAAATTTCATGCAATATCTTCCTAGGCATCCACATATAAACTATGTGTTTAGGGCTGGGACCACAGCTATTACATCAGCCGATCAAGGCAGAAGCAACAACGTTGCAAAGAAACTAAACTGCATTCAGAGTCTGATTGTGCGCCTGATAACTGTACAGTATCTGGAAACTGAAATATTATTTTTACTCTGGCAAATTTGATTTGTGTACTTAAGAAAGTGCAAAGAATTAGGAAACTTCAAAATGATGTAACATTTTCACCAATTGTTCCATCTCCTTCTTGAAAAGCAACACCATTCATATGCAGGTTAGGGATACTCAAGGAGATGATTTATGGATATATGAATTTGGGGAAGATGCACTGAAAGGAAGTGAACCAGGGCAAGCATGTTCTAGTTGATGTCTCATATTTTTGACAGGCTGTTTTATTAGACACACAGAAACCATGACGAGATTTCAAAGTAACTGCAAAAACACTGTAACAGCTAAATGTGGCCATTACTAGTGTGTCCATCTATCCATACATTACAAGGACAAGCAACAAGTTTGTCTAGAAAGTTCTTATTATTTTCATTACTCAACATTAGAAATAAAACTCCAAAACATCCTTACTTTTTTACATAATTTATTGGTTCTCTGAAGAAAAAAAAAAAAAAAAAAAAAAAAAAAAAAAGCTGTTACTTTAACTGCAGACAAATAATCCTGTTTTATTGTCTAAATAACAAGAAATTACAACACCACAGTCAGTATATTTTAGATAGAAAGATTCAAATTCTGGTCTCACATACATGCACAGAAATTTCCTTGACACCGAGATCAATTGCACATAGATATGAGAAGAAATTTCAAAAGTAAGACATAGCATAGATAAAAAAAATGTTGCTTACGAGCTGTCTGTAGAATCATTTTTGTGTGTTGAGAAGATGTGGAGATTCAGGAGATTTAAGAAGGTAAAAGACTTAGTATTTCTGCAAGTGCTGCACTATCAAAAATCAGATTTTGATTTGATATAAACATATCAATGCTAAAACATTTTAACTAGATTCAGACAATACTTTCTGCTAACATGAGCTTGATTTTTAAGATGAAACTGCTCAATACTAAGCAAGATATGCTTTCAATAAATTGCAATAATCATCAGTGGGAATTCAGTAACTTTTTATGCCTTCAAATTGATACGAAGGATCAAATTCTGCCCTGTTTCACTTAAGAATCCTCACTGAATTGTACTGGTAATAGCAGAGTTTGGCCAATATTGTCCATTTCATTAATTCATTAGTGGAACCCTTTTTTTTTATTCTAGTAAAGACACAACGTGAATTGGAGAACGGTAAGTGGGAAATGCCTGCTCTAGCCATTTGTAACTCTGCTTCTTTCATCCTTCGACATATTCCTTATGAATGTTGCTGTAAACACATCTCTGTCCAGAAGAAACTTTCTCTGCCACCAATTAAAGAGTTAGAGGAAGACAAATAATCCAGGAAGCTTCATTTGCAGGAGCTTTACCACCAGGACACCTTTAACCACCCATCTCCTGTAGGATACTGATCACCTTGATGGTGAACATAAGACAGCAGATCTTTGCTCATACTCTGGCTGCAGGGTCGRTCTCACTTGTGTTACACAGCTTTGGGAGCATAGTGAAGTGTTGACACAATGACGGACAAGGAAAAATGACTTAGAAATGCCTGCCTGCCAGTGATTCTTYGGCTGCATCCTGCCTGTCAGCTGAGCTGTCTCCCCAGAAGGTAACAGAGCTAAACAGAGTTAAACTAAGCTTGAAGTCTCCAGCCTCTCAGAGACACGGTAAGCAAACATCTAGTGACTTAACCTGGATTTATTAGTAGTAGGGAAGACAAATGGCAAATGTGAGTCATCAGCAAAGTCCCTCTCCCTATGCAACAAAGTTCCTAGTGGGTGAAATCACTATTATATAGACTTAGATGTGGAAAACCAACATACACACACACACATATCCCAGCATCAAGGCTGAAACGTGTCATCCCGAGAGCTAACACAGTCAAAGCAGCAAAATAAAGGCACACACACACCCCAGCAATCCTCCAGCTGCTACAGTGATTACAAGGCAACAAGACCCCAGCARTGCTCTATGGCTGGATGGGTGAAGTAATAGCAGCACCAAAACAAGCCCAGTGGGCAACAGGAAAAGATGGCAAAGAAATACAACAAGGCTATCTATTTTCCTCTTAGTGCACAGAGGTGAAATACACCTGACTATCTCCTGAATACGAATCTTAGATAACAAACTATGAACAAGAAGGAAAAAGTGGTTTGTTAAATGAGAATTTATTCTTCAGATGTTCATGATGCAGTATCTCAGGAAGTTCGCTACTCAGGATGCTCTATGGACAAGCATTTAACCTTGTGCTCATGTACTGTTGATCCACCATTAATCTACTTTCCTAAAACACTGGTTCATTTTTCTGCGTTTACTACATTTCTTTTGAACTTTATTTGAAATATTGAAGTATTTTCTTCCAAGATCATATGGCTTGTTCATTGGTGAAGAAGAATCACATCTATCCTACGTTTTCATGTTAAAGTTAGTACTTGTATACAGCATTTTTTCTGCTTTAAAATCAAATTCAGTTATCTGTCATGTTTCACCACTCAGACTTCAGGCTTGGAAACACTGATCTGGATTCAGAGGAAAAGGCAAAAGCTGACTATACTTTGGGATGCAGGGATTTTCTCACTCAGCTTCAGCAGGAGCCTTATTTGAATGAGGCTTTTACGACCCTGCCCTTCAGAGGCTGAGGTGGGCGCCAGTTATCAACCAGTGGGCTCACAGGTTCGTTCTCAGGGTTCTTGGAAAGGCTCCGTAACCTTGCCATCTGCAAGGAAGCAAAACCAAAGTGTCATTAGGAATAAATCTGGAAGCAATGCAGATCCTGATGCCTACAACTAGAAATTAGGGCATGTTTTTTTCACATGAGCACAACTGGTAGAAGTCTGCGCAGYCCTCTGTCTAACAGAGCTTGTGGGGAGCTTCATCTGCAGAGCAGCAGATGATCTGACTGACCCTGGCCTGGGCTCTTCTGGATTTTCTGCTGAGCCACCCACACAGGATGAAACAAGGAGAGGTGCCTCCTTTGTGACCCAGCTCAAGTTCAGTTGAATCTCTGGTGGAAAAAAGGTGATCCGTGACAGGGGATGTCCATCTACGTGTGCACAAAGCAGTCTACAAAACAGTTGGTCTGCAGAAGTCCAGCAACTGGATTAATAATCTAGAATTTCAAATTATATACAGAGTATAGAAGATCGAAGAGTATGTTACCTTTACTCTCAGTAAAGACTCTCACAATAACTTCTAGGATAACTGAATGTTCCTACAATATTATAGTGCCATACCAACTCCTGAGGCCAGTGGGCCCCACACAGCTGCAGAGAGGCTGCAGATTGCAGAAGGGATGAGCATTCCGAATAGTCACTCTCAGCAAGCCTGCAGAGTTAGTTAACAGGATTCTGAAACTACAAACCATCATAGCACCATCATCATCCTACATCCCTCTTCTGTACTGCAACATAGAGCTCGCAGATCATCACACCAACATGGTGAGAGTGCACTGAGAGCAGGAAAAGTAGGGCAGAGCTAGTAGGAGCTTACCTGGTCTGGACTGACTTCAATGGGTTCCCTCAAGAGAATCCAGGTGATGCACTCTTCACAAGGAGGGGTAGTGAACGAGCCGTGGTACGTCCAGTAGTCCCGAGATTTGGGAAAAAGAATTGATGGATCGAAGTGCTGAAAAGGAGCCTCTTTCCCCTAAAACAAGACAAAGGAAAGCTCTTCAGTAAGTTTAGTGATAGCCATGTTAAAAGATATCAGTATATAAGTTATTACGGAGGAAGTAATTAAATATGAAGACCATGAGATCAACCCTTTTCTTTCTGTCAGGCATCTGCCCTGTAATAACGGATATATTGATTCCATTGAYATATAAAAGAAAAGACAAAGAGAATAGTGCAGGACGAAGCAAATTTATTGTTCCCCATACCTTATTCCCCATACCTTCTAAAATTCATTTGGGATTATCAACATTTTGTTTTAGTTTGGGGCCATTTTGGGGTCACTTGGGATAAAAGTTAAATGCTGGTACACTGCAGCTACTGGATACTTGCAGAGGTGAGAAGCTCTGTGTTTACCTAAATAAAAGAAACAATCCTGCTCCACAATTCACAGTATCCTCTGGTGCTACTCTTACACAAMAGAATGATATCAAGACTTTGATACCAAGACTCGCATTCTGATACCTTGGTCTTAATGTTATCAATTTCTTCAAGAATTCTCTTCATCTCTGGTTTGGGAGTTGTTCCAACCTGCAACACAGAGCACAAGTCCCACATTTTTCCACGAAGTTTCACAGTGGGAAAAATGTATTCAGTGCATCACATCTCTTAAGGTAAGCAGCAATTTTCTCAGGACATCTTGTACATRCTGGCATAAAATGGTGCCTGCTAAAAGGCCAAGATGAACAACAGACTTGAGTAGCTGGTTTTGTAATTCAGAAATGTGCTGGAAGGCTCCACAAGGCATCRTCCTATGACTCAGCAACAAACCACATGCCCACACAATGTCATTTAAACCCCACAGGGCCTGTCYTAGGCCCCCAGTTTGAATGCAGGCCACAATGGCTGTGTGATGATTTACAGATACTCAGTGGCTGTGTGATGATTTATACATACGCAGCACAAGTGCTGTTAGTCCAAAGTGGTGGGGTTCCTGCAGATGCTTAGGACATTCTGCAGCACATGCAGTCAGACCAGACTCAATATAAAACAATGATGGAATTCCTGTCGTGGCCCCACCATGTTATGAGGTCACTTTATAATTGTGTTCACAACATTCAAAGCTTTCAAAAGTTCTGATGTGGCTCTGCATCCAAGTAAACAGACCAAGTGTCCAAGTAAAAAGACATGCTTTCATCATCATATTTTGTTCCCAAAGAACAAGGAAGAATTGTGAGAAGAGGACAGAGAAGATGCAGAGATGCCACTTACTTTGTGGACATTTTAGCTGCTGTTAGCATGATTAATAGGAACATAATTTTATACTTTATAAGTTGCATTTTACAAGCTAACGCTTTAGGCTAAAATAAAACAAAACAGCAAAAGAGAAACAATGAAAGGACATAGGCGCAAGTGAGAATCTGTACGGGCACTAAACCTCCGACTAGTATCATTTTAAAGCAACCACACGGAAAAAAAGAACAGACTGTCTGAGTCAATTACAGTGTAACAGAATTAAAAGAGCATTGGTTCTAGTTTGTCCAGGGACAGAATGGCAAAATTGATTACATCCACTTTCTATAACTGTACAAATGCAACTCACTATTAAACAATTATTAAACAATAAAAGGAGGGCTATTCCCTGGCACTGATTCTAAATCTGTGTTCAAGCTGAAGTTGACACCTACAGGCACGATGAGCCCTCTACTTCACCACACAGCTGAAATCTGCCTAACTGATCCCTATCAGGTTGTGTGTTTGTTAGTATTTTCTGATTTTATGGAAAGTTTTAAGATTTGATCTTAGGACTGCTTTCTTTCTCTTGTATTAAAAAGATGTAAAATTATCCATATTTTCTTATTTTTTATTAACCTGCTGTGTTTTGAGGTTTTAATTTTTTCAGTGAAATTCTGCAACTAGTTCTCTGAGGTACTTCGGTTTYTTTGGAGCAGTTCCTTGAACTTATTTGCAGTCCCAGATCAAGCAGGRATCAGCAAGAAACCAAGCAAATGACTCAGTGAAGGTAACGTTGCTGACAGATAAACACAGCAGCCCTGGACAGACAAAAGGCAGGAAGATATACTCTTCCTACTCGGCCTCATTACTCCCACTCGCCACACAGAGTGCACCTCACAGCACAGAGCTGGTGAGCTCTGGGGGTATCTTGTTCAGTGTCACCCATGCAAGGTGCCCCTGTTGTCAGACCTGGTGTCAGAAGTCTGCTCTAAATGGGTTTGCAAGTGCAATGTGGAGAGCCCAAAGCACTTGTGACTTCAGACTGTGCATCACTTCCAGTTTCTTCTAYAACGTTACAGTGCTGGGAAGAACWACAGGAATGTTTTCCCCAAAGCTAAAAAAAWAAWAAATAAATAAAAGAGRTGAAAAGTATAGAAAATCTGCAGAGACCAAACACTTGTCACTTACTTTTAGAAAAATGCCCACAACAGCCACACCATCCGGTTGTTTCAAAGCTCCTGCAAAATTACCATGTTTGGGATTCCAGTGSACCATATGTAGCTGCAAAAAAATCGACATGTTTAAGTGTAAGAAATTGCTAACAGCTCAATCTTACATACAGTCAAATTAAACTGGGATAAGCTTTCAGTACACAGTGAGTAAAGGAATGGGTCTGAACAAGGAAACTGTACATAATATTTTTCTTACTCCCATTCACATGGTTTCATGTGCTCACATTTTCTGCTAGCGTCACTCTGTATATAATTGAAGCATGAAAGACAGAAAATAGTCTTTACAAACATTTTCAAACATCATTCTGAAATAATTCAGTTGTGACCAGTTTAACCCATGCCTGTGGCATGCACACATGCAATGCAGGAATGCCTACGGACATGCACCGCTTCATCACAGGTAGGTTTTTAGATTATTAGGCTATGCAGATATAAGCTCAAGGATTTACACTGGGCTGTATGTAGTGCCTATGATGCTGCTTTGCATCTTCTGCTACTTTTGCATATTGCGCTAGTAGGCAGTAGAGGGAGTAACTTGGCATTTGTTTCTCAGTTTTACTCTGAGAATGGTCTATTTTCAGGAAGTCTTTCAAGATTTAAAATCTCCTTCCAGAAAATCTCTGGCTCCTATACATAGGCACAATCAGCCATGCGGAATCTCAACATAAGTTCTTTCTAGAATAAAATACTGCACAAAACTTTGAGACTAAGGCATATTTTGAATGTCTTTTCTTTCGTTTGTTTTCTAAAACACACTCAAAATTATTTAAAATAGCAACAAAATAATTTCCCCTAAGTGTTAAGTAGTACGATGCTCAGTTTCTTGTCTCTTGTGGATTAAGGGATTTTTCTCAAGGATAAAGGGCGGGGGGAAGGGGCATATATCTTTGGCAGTGTTCTAGAAGTTTCATACATTCCACGCAATCTTCTCCTGTCTATAAACACCAGATTACTTCAATCAAAAGCAAAGTAAATATCCTCTGTTTGAAATAACTAAGAAATAGCTTGAGGAAGCGAAACTTGTCCATCCAGTCAGCCAAGAGAAGGCAGTATATTAATGCAGCTATGCTAAGGCAAGGGGAAGCCCAAAAAGCATCACCCACAGTCAYCTGGGCAACATTTGCGCCCACGGCCCTGCAAAATATCTGCCAACAATTTTCTCTAAGATAAGCGGGCAGAGCCCCTGGAAGCTTTGCATATGGACAAATATAGGTGGTTGTACAAGAGCAAAGCATTGTGGCAGGCTTTTCATGGGCAGAAGTATGGATAATAGGCTATTTTCTGGTAATAGGGAGGGAAAAAAACACATTTGTTAGTAACTGACTTTCACCACCAGTGAATTCACTTGCATTTATTACCCAAAAAAGTCTTCCAGGTCCACATGAGCCATCAATCTTAGTAACTTTACACCAGTAGTTTGCATCAAAAAATATAGAACATATGTTTGCCACAGTTCTTTAAAATAAATAYAGAAACGTGGAAGCACAAATGTTTAGAAGGTAGAAAATATTCCCTGCCTCTCTGAATTTTAAGGTACAGGAACATAAACTGAATTACATGTGTCTTTAGATAGTTCTTCATTATTAGTAATGCTTCCTGAAACTTAGGAACTGAGCACCCTGTTTTCTGAAAATAGCAGATCATTTGGTCACAAATATTTTGAAACATTAGAAAAAAAACCTTGCTGAAAGAAGCGTATCCATTTTAGGATATATTTGCAAAGACATGTTTGTTGGCAGATACATCTCATCCCACTGCACATTGATTAATATTCATAAGTTTTATGAGAGATTTTAGAGAAAAATAAATATTTGCAAAGGGAAAATAGTTAATCTGTTCAGATGCACACTCAGTCAAATTCCAGTTAGTACCACATGGTGCTATCAAAAAGAAGTCCTACCTCTGCGGCGTATTTCACCCCATCTATAACATGCTCTGAGCCATGGTCATCAGAGGAACCCCAGTGCAAATGGAGCTGGCGCAGCCTGTAGGCTCCAGAGAGTGGCCCTCCTCTCAGCACTGCAAGTGACAATCTACATCAGCACTGCCCTACACAGTGGTGACACACATGTCTTACTGGAGAGGGAGCCATACTTAAAAGCAGAGAGCACCTTGTGTAAATCCAGCTGATTGCAGTGGGAGTCACAACACTCTACAGTTTATGAGCCTGGGCCTGAAGTCCTCTATGGCTCAGGATAAAACTATTTGTTTTCAAAACTGTAAAACCTGCTGTGACTCGAGCACTGAATCACATCCCAACTGCCAAACACTACCCTTTCCTCTAGCAAGACACGTTCCTAATAGGGCAGATGAGGAAAGTATTAGCAGTTTCCCCTATCAAGAAAACATTCTCTTGGCATTATCTCCTGGGATGAAATTAACCCCAAATTGTCACATAGTGCCTTGAGACATATCTATCATCCGTGAAGAGTTTCAACCCTAAATTTTTATCCAACAACCTGCAGAAAGCTCATAATAGGAGCAGATGGGGCATCCAGAGGAACAAGAGACATGACAGGGACTGGAGGGAAGGGCAGGAAGATGGGGAATATGGCTTACAGGAAGCACAGCCGCAAGCTTGGCAAAATCAAGGTTTTTTTCCAACAATATTCCTTGGGCAGGCACTTCCTTGAGTAGCTTTTGTCTACAAGTTTCTGTCTTTAGTGAGCTGTGAGGAAGACAGAGAGGAACTACCACATGAGAAGCCCCATAATTAGTTTCCTTTGTCCCATAATTAGTTTCCTTTGTCACACTGTTTTGATGTTTGTATTGGCCTGAAATTCATTTATCTCTTTCCTATCCTATCCTAACACACATTTAGAAATTTCTATGGACGGAGCTGTGATATAGTTTAATAAGCTTGAAACATCCCAGAAGGGGGGAGGGGGAGGGAAAAGCTACAATTTGTGGTTTTGAATTCTCTAAAATGCAAATTTAGTACTATCTTGCGGGGAAAAACAATCTTCTACCATGACTATTACTTGAAAAACACATATTGTGATATATGTGGTGTGGTAGACTTATCTGAACATATGTTAAGGTCAATGGCTGGTGTCAATCAGGAAAAATGAAAAAACACCTAAAAACCTAAAACCAAAAGATGTTTCTCATTGTTCATGCTATACAACAGTAACCACATCCAAACTTGTGCAAACTGAGAAGTGTCAAGACACACAAACTACCTGCACTGACCTGAGGCTTTTTCAGATAGATGTTTTTTCTGACTTCAGAATTAAACACCTAGTGAGTGGCTAATCTGAAAGATTTTTTTCTATACCTCTGAATAAAGCATATGGCACTGATTTCATGCAATATTTGTGGTGATGCATTCCAAGTTATATATATATATAAAAAAGCACAATTTATTGTTTGTCTGAGGTCACTGTATAGAGACCTATAAAGGTGTGTAAAGCCCCACACAAATACAGACTATTAAGACAGTCCCAAAGAGTTTACATTCTATCTTCACAATGTGGAACAAAAGCAGGTAGCTAAAATGGTAAATAGAGGAGTCCAAGCAAACAAAGAGCTTGGCAAGATAAAAAATAGTGATAGTGATCTTCGAATAGAGTGCAGGTATGTCAGTAATTACATACCTTGCTAAAAATAGAATTCCAATACAAGTGCCAGCAAAGCTGAAGCAGAAAAATACAATGGAAAGTAGCTGCATTTTCCATGGATTAAATTGCCTTCCGTCTTCCTAAAGAACTGACTACATGACACAGCACTGAAAGTGTAGTTTTGTTTTGGTAGCTGTTGCTCACCTACCCTCAGAATTATGCACTGATCAATTCAATCAGAATTATGCACTCTGGAATCAAATTTTGAACTATTTGGCATAGAAATGCAAGACTGATCCTAATTAGCAAAAACATTCCATACCTTCTTATAAAGAGGCTCTACAAAGTACAGGGGAAGAACCACTACAAAATGTCAGAGTTTAAATCAAAATAATTGAAATGTTTCTATTATATTGGAATTGTCCTTCAAAACAGATGATTGCTGCAATCATTAGGTTACGTCATGTACATGCAGCACATCAAACACAGATGCGATGTTTCCACAGCATTTTGTAGGTCAGTAAGACTGATAATTAACACTAAGGACTTTCATGTAATTGTTTTCAATTACTTCCTTTGGTACCTGCAGGTCTAAGTCCTTCGTTTATACTCAGTCTATGTCACATGCTTGGGATCTGTGCAGCCACTTTCCTCTATCAAAACTATGGCTGTATTTGCTTCAGGAGATTCTGTTATGGCTCAAATAGTATACACATATTATGAAAACACCACTCTATGCAGTAGATAAAAATATATAATATTAAGTCTTTACTGGATGCTGAGCACAGTTGCATCATTCAGAATAGCTGCAAGTGTACTGTTTCTTTAAGGACTGAAATAACTAAAATTGAAGAACAGGCTTATAAAGAACTCTTATAAAAAGAGGTCAAGATTTGTGATTTAAGTTTATTTTAGAAAGAAATAGCCTGCATGTATGAAAGAACAGGGAGAATGTATTTGTATAACGAAAAGCTGTGACAGCTTAAAAACAGAGAAAAATCTAGCACTATTTGAGCAAGCATCGTGGTAACTACGACCACCAAGAGAAGAAAAGTCTCTATACAGTAAGAGGAACTGCAAAACCAACTGTTCTAGTTGGTTGCTTCTTTATTCATGGAAATCTGTCTTTGCAGATTCTTAAGATCAATTATAAYTGCACTGGTGATTTGACTGTCTCATTCATTTCTCCTACCTGGAACAGTCAGTAAAACCTCTCATTGTGCAACTGCTCAGTTCAAAAGGATTTAGGAGAATTTTGTCAGGAGTAAATTCCAGGTACAAAGGAGTAAATTGCAGGTGACTTAATGTTCCTATGATAAAATAGCAGCAGAGATGCTTGCAAAATTAAAAAAGAAGTAAAACAAAACACCCATAAGGTGCTACAGATCCACACAAGCACGTAGAAGTTTTCTTGAATTATCTAAAATGCAAATAGCACGTGGATGTGATATCACCACTGGAAAGAGTGCAGCTGTTCATGGTCAAGGACTCAAATACACTGGAATATCCAGCTGCAAACGCCTGTCTGAAATAGCGCTGGGGCCAAACAAAGCAACCATTAACCTGCCTGTCGAGGATAGAAGAAACCAGGAGCAAAGTCACTGCAACCATCCTGCTTACATGGTGTCTAGGGAGTACATGAACCACTTCCAGGTAATGTCCTCTCCTCATGCACAGTGCCCAAGCATTTGGTTCCATATGGGACAAGGCTACTTGGGAAGAGAAATGCACCTTCCCAGSCTCCAGAACTGAGAGTTACCAACCGTTTGGCTACTGTCAGATGCCTCTCTTGACAGCCCAACCTGCACCTATCAGCAGTCCCTGCAGCAAAAGCCTCCTTGTCCTGCATGAAACTCACCTAGAAATGGCTTGACCCACCTAAAGACGCTCCTGGGCCAACTCTTTTCCACACCCAAACAGTTTTTCTCTGCTGGCCTATGTAGTCCAGTGACTATAGGATGGGTTTTTGCCTCAAGCACTTTGCAAACTTTAATTTCAAAATTTAAAAAAAAAGAAAAATTCCCCCCAAACTCCCGAACTGACCTGATCTATCAAAACTGTCATCAAAGACAACCCTGCAGGTGCGCCCATTGTTGAGGATGGTTTTGGCGGCGCCGGGGTCGTAGCTGGCGTGCCAGGYTGGAAGCGATGGCTCGTGCCGCACGTCCTTGCTGTTGATTTCAATGGGCGACTGCTTGTCCCCCTTGGCGTAGGGGTAGTTCTCGTGCCAGTGCGCGGGCCCTGCGCGGGAAGGCGAGGAACTGTCACAGGAGCCCCCCCCGCCTGGCCCCCAACGGCCGCCGCGCCCAGCGCCCCAACGGYTGCTCCCCAACGGCCGCCCCCAACGGCYGCCGCGCCCAGCGGCCCAACGGCTGCTCCCAACRGCCGCCCRCGGCGCCGCTCACCGTTGTCGCTGTCGTAGCCCCACGTGGACTGCGCCATGGTGCCGACACCGGCCCGCCTCGCGGCTCCCCGCTGCCCGCGGGGCTTTTATAGCCGCCCCGCCGCGTCCCGCCCGGGGCGAGCGGCGAGGGCAGGACCGGGGGCGGGCAGAGCCACGGCCGTCCTCTCCCTTCAGGCAGCGCCTTTAATCCCCCGCAAGGGGATAAGCGCGGGTTCAGTCCTGGTTTTCCTGCGCCTCGGCGAGGCAGAGATGCTGACAGCTCCTCTGATGGGATCCAGACGCAGTGCACAGAGCCCATCACGCCGGGGTGGCCGCCACGGCTCTCGCTCCATCACCCTTGGGCAGCCCCTCTTGGTCCTTTCAGGGCAGGCGGCGCTGGACCGTCCTCATGGGGAGCTCCAGCCCCACAAGCAGCAGGAGCGAGCCAGGCAGGCAGGGCCTGCAGGGTTTCACCCTCTTTCTGTGCAGCTTTCTAGTTTGGAGCTTGAGTTCGTGAGGCCAAACACCCACGTACCTACCAGTGTTTACAGGTGTTTAGTCTGACAGCACCTAGCGAAAAGGAGCGTGGAGGAGGCACACCTGGTAGAGATTCAGACTGGATCTGTCCCGGGATATGTCCATGTATGCAGAGAAATGAGAACAGAGGGTGGATGTTTCACCCCTCTGAGTGCAAGCAAGCATTACTCAGCTTAGCAATTGATACTTTGTTCAGGAAAATGCCGTTTTTCAGATGATGGAGAAGTGGCAGTCACTAGGGCTCCACTTGCTGGCTTTCTCTCTATATCTGTCAGTAATCAAAGCTAAGAGGCATTGTGAGCAATGGAGTTTCCAACAGAATTGCAGCAAAGCTACTCACATACTGCATGCTCCCTGTCAGCACTGGAAAGTAGCAAGGAAGCTCCAAGACTCCAGAAGCTGTATCCTGCCAGTTGGTTGGTGTRCAGTTCAACAGCTACAAAATTCAGGTTGTAGGTCCATCTGGCCAGCTTTTGATATCCCACAACCAGATGGACAATAAGGGCTCCACTTTTTTACTTGTGTATATTGCTATTCTAATAAATAACTAAATTTGGACTTTGTTTAGAGTAGCTACAATGGCTTCTTGGAAGTTACTTGTTTAATAAAGCTAAATATATATACATATAAGCTGTATGCGCTTTCCTTTCTTCTTGCTTTGAAATAAATCATGAGTAGAAGACATTTTTCCTCAAATGATGCTTGTCACATCACATCACACCACACCACATCACRAGAGCTTTGTGAAGCTTTAGGCAAATGGCTTGATGCACATCCAAGGCTGACCAGGCACATCCAGAGCAGACCTCCAAAGCTCCAGAAAGAACCCTTAGGAATACCACATCATAGGTATGGATGTGCTGATTTTTATATTTAGCAGTAACACAGGTATTAAATCTTATTCACAGTCAGACTGGCACACCTTTGCCACACACATTTGCCAAAAGAAAGCAGCACAAGAAGTGAAGTGCTCTTGCAAACACACAAAACTTCTCAGAGCGAGCCCCACTACCCCAGCTGGACCTCCTTCTCTCATGTCCACGGGTATTTTCACCTCACTTGCACTTCACAAACATGAGTGAAAGTCCATTAAAGAACTTGTCAACAAACTAAACTTATGAAGGTTCTACATAGTATAACATAGTATATTTATATATATATATATATATACATATATATATATATAAAAATGTTTATCTTACCAGACCAAAACTCATAAAACTACAGAGGTGCCGCTTGTCAGCTTGAGAAATGCTAAAATAGACTCATTGTAAAAATTTCCTTTCTTATGTAGATAGAATTAAATTAGGAAAATAACATGAAATAGTTTTTGAATATACTATGAACAATTAGGCATTTTGTTTTTAAAAAAGAACTCTTTTAAACAAAAGATAATGTAATCTTTTACTCCATCATCAATCAAATGCATAATGTCACGTTTGTTTGCAAGGACAGGCATATAAAATTGACACCTGTTGGAATTTTAATTCAGAAAGCTTTGACATTAATCCTTTTGAAATGGTTTCTACCTCATCTTGTTAGACAGAAACATTTACGAGCTCATGAAATTCTAATTTTGTGCCTGCATAAACAGACAGCTTTAGTAGGCTTGTTTATCGAAGGCTCTTGAGGACATTTAATCAACTGCATGTATACAAAGGATGCTTACTCCAGCCTTTTATGGAGGTAAGGACATGACCTGTATTGCACAGAAATAGATGCAAGACCCTTCTTTCACTGAAGCTTCAACTCATGGTTCTCAATGAGAGTTTGCACCGTCTTCTTGATTAGGGATTCCCGCAACTGCAGCCAGAGTCTCCGTAATTTAGCTTTCCACTGAACTTTACTTGGTTCTGTTGCATGCACAGAGGAAGCTCTTTGCCAGCTTCTGCACATCACACCTTCCAGGCACCGACTTACGTACAAGTGGCAAATGCGAGGATCAGCACTGGGGTTACTTGGAATTAGCCCCAGACACTGAGGCATGTCACAGTGTTTCACTGACTTTTTGCTGTTATTCTTTTGCTATGGCTTTCTTCATGAAAGGTGGAAAAAAGTTGAAAATAGTGCTTACACTAAAGGATAATCACAGTAAAATTTTCCCTCAGGAATGTAATGTAGTAATGCTTGGTCCTAGCACTGTAGGAGCCCATGGAGCTCATAGAAAATTCACATCTGTTTCATCAGAAAGTTAAGGATTTTAGAAATCAGAGAAACAAAAATAAGAAGAGAAGAAGTGAATACAATCAAACCAACCAAAGAGAACAGCAACTTTCAGCAGCAGTGTTAATGGTTGGGCCTAAAAAGTCTTAGTGAAGTTCATTTGAGATTTTACTTGCAGGAATAAATTTGTGCATTTGTTCCAACTCTTCTGATTTGACTCTTAAAGACAGAAGTCTTCTCTTCACAGAATCACAGAATCACTCTTAAATACTGTTTACAGCAAGGTTCCATAAGGCAAGCATATATAGTATAAGGGTAAGTCATACTTACTTTATTTGCACCCTATTTTTAATTGGGACTTAGCTGAGCAGAAATCAAGTAACATAAAATGGAAAGTGATTTAATTAAAGAGTGCTGCTGATATATTAGCTTTGAAAGATGGCTGACAGCTTCCTATCACTGCTGAATCTGTAAATACATAGTATCAAATAGTAACAGAATCCAGTCTGAACTAAAGCAAAACAGCTGTATTCATGATAAACTACCTTTCATACTAAAAAACTCACTCATTCAAAGCAGACAAGTACATGCATCATATATGCAGGTAACTAAAGAGAAATAWGGCGGGATAAATATAGAAAAAAAAAGTGAGAGGTTTTAGCTTACACACTAGTTGTAGACATAATCTTGTCTGAAGGTGGTACCCAGTCACAGGATCACAGTTTTATTTCCAAAGCTTTTCAGAATAAGTCAAACATGGTCCTATTAAATACATAACTAACAAGGTACTGTTCATCCAAAGGAGATCTGCAGATCTGCCACCTGAAAAAAAGATTGACACAGAGGGACCAGAGCTAATTAATGTGCTGTAGCTGTTGGATACTTGCTGTCGAATGTGCARTTCAGGAGCAGTGTTCCTCTCTGCCAAGTAAACAACAGGCACAATATTSGTTATCTTTCTCACAGAGATAACTGAAATTGAAGGCACTGTCTTTGAGTTAGAAAAGGAGGAATACRGAAAGTCTGGAATACAGAAAGTCTGCAAAGCACAAGTGGAGGAAGGATGCAAAGAAAAGTGACATACAGCGGCTTTGGACTCCTCCAGTCGCGGYTGGCTTGGCCAATGCCTTGACATAACTAGGACAACCAAAGTGCTGCCCTGCCTCTGCAGGCCAATTTCCAGCAGTCTCCAGAGGCCAACATAACAGCTAAGAACGGCTGCCTGTAAGGGGACACAGAAGTAAATATACCAGCAGGATGTAATTCAAGAATTCCCCTGCTCAGAGTTAAGCTTCCCAGGTTCCACGGTGCTTAGGGCTATTTCACATGGGTGATTTCATACACGAGGCTTTACCAGAGCACACAACGTGCCCACAGTGAGCACATTGTTAAATGAGCAAGAGTATTTACTCACTCCTTATAGCCTATCTAAATATAAAATATATTCCACTATATTTAATAGCTTGTGGAAGAAAACAATACAGCAGAAAGGAATCTGATAATACAAAATATGGAAGGGGCAGCAGTATTTTTTGACATATTGCACATTGCATTCCAGACAGTGCAAGAAAGGCATGTCACGCTGCTTTTGATTGAGGGATGCCATGGTGACATGCACAGCCAAAAAGCCAGATTGTCATATGTCTTCCAGTCCACAGAGATGCATGCCACGCTGTGGAAAACATTGTAGGAATGAATGGAAACCCCCATTAACAGCCAGATCTTTGCTGCAAGATCTGCCAAAGGAGAAAGAGCTATTGAGTCAATTTTGTTGTTTTTATAAAACATGAGTTGCTTAGCTGTGTTTACTTAATTTAATGAAGAGTGGAATCTAGCACACCTAGACAAACATTAGCCAGACTTTTAATGGACATTCCTATTTCAGGAAAGCGTGTAGCTTAGCAGTGTATCTTCAGTTCTGTCTCTAACCATTCACTTGCAAAATCTCATCGTTTCCATGCTATAGTTCAGAACCTATGTTGCTGTTTGCAAATCTTACACATAGTCTGTGGGAGACAATAAATGTGAAAACAGTGAAAACACGAAATGGAGTTCAAATTTGGCAAAATAAATTGAAAGATAAACAAGGTTCCTTTTGGCACTCTATTGAATATTGAAGTGAACATGGGCTTAAAAGTGTATTAATAGAAAAAAAAAAAACCTAGCAGTTTATGAAATATCACACAGAGGTTTGGCAGAACAAAAATATACCCCCTGCGTAAGACACATCTTTTAGATCTGATATCCGCAGGAAGATGACTCTCCTAGTTTCTGACAGGAATTTGCTTCTATGGCATTCACATTGAAATCCAAATCTGAGCTGGGCTGTCTACTTTTATACACGCTGGCACTGTCTGAC